AATAAAACAACATAATTGATGCTGAAGATAACTGTAAAATCAATAAAACATATATGGTGCGTGGTTTTGTCCCAAACAGAGGCGTATTAGATACCTAAATATCACAAATTATCAACATACTGTAAAAACATAAATAGTAGTCATAAGATATCACAATGCATGTTTGTTGATTCAATAGGACTTGACTAAGTATAGAAAAAGACAGAAAGACATGAGTTGAGGAACAACAGTATACTATCTCAATATTGAAAACTATTATTGCACATCAAATACTGCTGATAATCATTATTGCCATCGTGGGAATACTAAGAGGGAATTAAGTGCTCCAGCTTCATCTATCCAAACAACAAGGACATAAACGAATCTAAAGGTTTGCCATTTTGCCTTGATTGATTTGAGCTGGCCATTGTATACTGGTTCGGGCATAAACTGGGTTGCGGACCATCCCTTTCTCAGACAGTCAATCTTACAGTATAGGTTTTTTAAAGGCACAGTCTATGACTCCTTCTGCCTCGTACCACTGTTGTTTGTTCATCACTGATCACCCGTCTGCCTCTGCCGGCCACCAGGTTATGTAATTCTTCCATATAATTCCATGACATTGTCTTGTCTTGATATAAGAAAATATATCACTAAGTGTGATTCTTGCAGAATTGTGTCATATACTCTGATATAAGTCAGCTCCTAGTATAGTTGGAAAATTTGTGAATCATCCCATCTTCAAACTTGTCAGAGCCTTGGGACTTCCAGGTGCTTAAAGAAACAAATCAAGTTTCCACCACTTGAGGTTTTCTCCTCAACATTTAACCTACCTACTCCTTGAGACTATGTTTTTTGAGCCAATAAAGGATTACACTTATAAATCCAACAGCTTTACAAGTGTAATTGAACTTGTTATGCAGGTATTTTGCCTTCTCTTTTTCTCAATGGTTTTATGCTTACTAATCTGCTACAGAACTGCCAACCTCGAGTAATTGGGACATCATAGCTTGTTGTTGTTGTGAGACAATTTTTCAAGCGATTCCCTTACAGTTAATTTGCAAATGGTCCTTCCTTTATACCTGACATTAATTGTGCTCAATGAGTTTCTTGATGCTGCACTTGTGCTTGTTGTTTGAACTTGCTAGAATATGGTTATTTATAACACAATTGCATTAGCACATTTAGTTCGAGAGAACTTTTTTGCTCAACACATTCTAGTTACAGTGACAAAATATTATGAAACCCGATAGGGTTCTAACCTTTTGTATTATTTGTTTTGCAGTTTGAAATTGCAAATTCAAACCCAGAAGATGCTGCCTCAATGGGCGGTTGCTTCTTTGAAACTCTCACATCATCAGAATTTTACAAAAATACAAAGGTTGTGTTCTCTTGATTCTTGATAAACGTGTTTTGTCTTATGTTTGTCTAATGTTGATATAATACTTGACCTATCCATAGGTTGAAGATATTGCAGGGTCCTTTCGCTGGGCCCCATTTCTCGCCTTGCAGAATTCTGACTCTTTCCTAACCATGTTGCTACTGCTATCGAAGTATAGAATGAAGAGCCTTCCTGTAGTTGATCTTGGTGAAGGGAAGATTGAAAATGTCATTACACAGTCTGCCGTGGTTCACATGTTGGCAGAATGTGTAGGGCTTCATTGGTTCGAGAACTGGGGATCTAAAAAATTATATGAGTTGGGCCTTCCAATCATGAAGCCTAATAGACTTCTTAAGGTGATTATCTGCTATTTATTTTTTTTATCTTTTTTTCAAAAATATTTCTTGTACCACATTTTGATTATCCAACCATGCTAGAATGAAAAATAACCTTCCAGTGCCTGCCAACATGTCAGAAAGAATCATGAGGGAACTAGTTCTTGAAGAATTGAGGACAAACATGATTATATATAAATATTTTTACAATATTCATGCATCATTGGAGAATTTGGATATAAATAATGGTGATTTTCTTGGCTATGGTAAGGATTGGAATGTGGCCCTTGGATCAACCCTATCATGACCAAAGATTCACTTGTGTTACTGCTTGTTATTCTGACACCAGTAACTAATCACATTTATGCCTTTAATTAACCAATATGTGTACTGATTAATCTGCCTTAAGGAACTCTATCATAACTAACAGTAAGGAGATGAGTCAGTGTTATTTAAAGTTTCTAGGCAGGGGATGAAGACCATAAAAGACATGGGTAGTTATTAATTAAAATTTATTGGACTTGGAAATATTAAATGGCATTCACTTCATATAGCTTAGTGGTTTTAAATCTAAGCTAATCCCAATTTTTTAGAACAAAAAAATATTGTTGTAGTCTGGTACAATGAGGCAGCCCCAAGAATTAGATATCTCTGAAGTTTACATCGACCTAAAAGGTGTGGTAAGTAGGTTGTATTAATAAATTCTAGCATTATTTGTATTATACTTGAGTCAAGGAGAATCCTTTGCGTCATATAGGGGTTTCTCATAAGTTTGTGGTGCACGACTAGCATATCAGTTCCTCTGGTTTTGCTGTAAATTGGAATTCTTTCTATGATTGCTTGTGGGCAATTAATTACCTTATCATTTCTGTCTTTACATTTTCTGCATTCTCGTTTGCACTATATTTATCATGTCCTGACCACCCTTCTGATCAAGCCTTGTCTTTATCACTGACATTCCTTCTTTTTCATGCTTGTCTGCTCATTTAACAAAGTAGGAGCACCTGTGGTGTCATTTATTTGGGAGTCTCCTTGTCTGTTAAGCTTGGTGTTTTCATTCTGCTATTATTCCATGAGGTCAAAACCTTCCTTGCACTTCATAGATTCTTTTTCAGAAAGTTGTTTAGAACTTAAGAGTGCTTGGTTTAGTCATTTTAGAGCCGATTGTTTGACTGCTTGTGATGCATTAGATTAGTTAGACATATATTTTGCAAATTCTTCATGTCATGTCTTCTCAAGTTTGCAAGAATGATGAGTCTGGATCTTCTAAATAGTTGGGCTGTTTCTGACATCTGGCATCCTATATATTATCTCTCTCCGTCTTTGCTTGTAGATTTTGCAGAAATATTTTCTAAAGAGATTGAATTAGTTGTTTGTATTCTTGTTGAGGCTTTTACTAGCATTCATGGAACAACTCTTTCATATTTTATATAATATTAGTATTTTTGTTTATTGTCTCCCATGGATCTTTATCTTCATTTATCTATTGCAAGTTACAAATGGCAATAGCAGTTTATAGTTTGATCTTCTGTTTACTCAAGGATAAATGTTTCTCCATACATGGTCCAAAAGCAGAGATAAAATATGACTGGCAAATGAAAGTTATCAATGATGACCTTATGTTGGTTGTATGGTGTGTATCGAAGTTTAACCATAGTGAAATTTGTTCCTACCCACTGTTATGATTCCTGCAATTCGTTTTTTATCATCTGCAGGTAAGTGAGGAGGAGCCAGTTCTAAAGGCTTTCAAATTGATGCGAAAAAAAGGAATTGGCGGACTTCCAGTAGTCAACGAAAGTGGGGAGAGGGCTATAGGAAACATAAGCATCAGAGATGTCCAGTATCTTTTAACTGCCCCTGAGATATACAAAGATTACAGGTGCCCCTAGCAGCTTTTTTTTTTTGTTGCAATTGGTTAGGTTTAATTTTTTTTTACATTTATAATTTAATTACTTCCATTAATATGTCTCAGATCTTCACCCTAAACTTGTGCCTGTTTAATCCATTTCTTGAAATTGGTTTATATCCGTCCAAAAGAATAAGCTTGAAACCACGTAAATCGATTGCTTAAATAAACATTGATGTCATTCTTTTCAAAAGTTAGATTTATGTAACAAACATACAGACAAAGGATGAAACAGAAAGGAAACGAACAAAAACAGAAAAACTCAGAAGAGTCCAAACAAACATCTTGAGCCGACGCAATCAATTGTAAACTTACCTGTTCACCCTATGCACTTGTTATTTTGCTTCACAATGAGAATGAAATATGTCTTCATCTTTTCTAGTTAGCATCTCCAATACTATTCTTTTGTGGAGAAAATATTATTGCTATTTGATTCAATGAAAGTTATGGGAATGGAGACTTGACATCTGCAAGCTTCTTCTGCAGGTCAATCACAGTTAAAAATTTCCTAACTGCTGTACGAAGTTACTTGGAGGAACACCACGAAGCTTCACCCATGTTACGAGATCTAGTTACATGCAAAAGAGATGATACACTAGAAGATATCATTTTGAGATTAGACCATGAGAAGATTCATCGAATCTATGTCGTCGACGAGGAGGAGAATCTGCAGGGAGTAATCACACTTCGGGACATAATCTCCAAACTAGTCCATGAACCACATGGTTATTTCGGTGATTTCTTTTACGGAGTGGTTCCGTTGCCGGAGAGTAGTAGGGTGTGAAAGATAACTCCGAACTCAACACTCTGAGATTGACCATGTCGTTCTGTCGTTTAAACTTGCTTTCTTCTGTTTCATGCATATGCATGTTGTATCAACTCATTCTATTGCCTAATAGAATCTGTTGTTTGTAGATTGTAAGTTGGTCTTATTGCAACTTCGGCACACTACTGTTTGTATCGCTTACCTTATTTTGTAATTCCATCTCCTTGTACAAAAGCCACTCTTCTGCTTAGCTCATCATTTGTTGTCCTAGTTTGGGAGTATTGGCCCAAATGGACAGATTCAATGGTGATCGATCTCAGAAAACTGCTCCTAATTATCGAATGCTTCTATGCTCTGCTTCAATCTTAATCTCCTTCAAAAGCTACTCCTTGATTCATGTTGCAGGTTATTTCCTGTTCCCAGCTCTAATAATTGATTCTAATTCAGTGATATTTAAAATTTACTGTTAGATACGCATAAACCTTGAAGTACAAGAAGAGTAGCTGTAAATCATGTTATAAAAAGATGGCTTCGGCTCTTTCATTAAAAACTCAAAAGTATATCATAAGATTTTGGACTTGAATTTTACTTTTATGATTTATTATTTGTAAAAAAAATCTTTAGAGAGAGAGAAGAGGAAATTAGCTAATCCTTCATAGACTGCAGCAGCTAAAAGACACCGTTTCCTCCACATATCATCATGTACTACAACTAGTATGACTCAGAGCTTTGCGCACCTTCACCCTTCCTCTTCTCCACCACCATTTGCAGCCCGCCCGCCATGTGAGCGGTCAGCAGCGGCACAAACACCGGCGGCCGACTGTGCCTGTGATCCCTCCTCAACTCAAAGCGGCCGAGTACCGCGGCCGCAATATACTTCATCTGAGCGAAGGCCATCTCCTTCCCCAAGCACACCCTCGGACCCGCTTGGAACACCGGGAACTTGTAGGGCGACGCCCTCACCACCTCCCCGTGCTCCGACAACCACCGCCTGTGATCGAACTCCCTGCAGTTATTTCCCCACAGCCTCTCCATCCTCCCCATCCCGTACGGGAAGTAGGTCACCCGGTCGCCTTTCTTGATCCTTGTCCCGTCCGGGAGCTCGTCGCTGCCGGCCGCGTGCTTCGAGTCCCACGCCACCGGCGGATACATCCTCATGCTCTCGCAGAGGCATGCTTCGAGCACCTTCATGTCCTTCAGCTCTTGGTAGCTCAGTCGTCCCTTGAATCGCTTCACTTCGTCGACGATCTCCGCTTCGACGTCCGGACGGCGGGATATGAGCCAGAAGAACCATGTCAGTGCGGCGGACGTCGTGTCCCTCCCGGCCATCACGAAGCTGATTACCATGTCGCGGATCACCTCCTCGCTATGGCCGCCGGATATGAGCCTCGTCAGGAGATCGTTGTGCTCCGTGCCTTTCTCCATCTCCGTCTTCCTCGTCCGGATCAGTTCCATTATCGATTCATGGATTAGCTTCACCGCGCCCCGGAGCCTCCGTTCCGACCCTACGTCGAACGCCCGCTTTAGCTTCCAAACCGCGGCCATCGGCGCTGCCCCGCGCCTCGCGCTGATTCCCGAGGCGACCTCGAAAGCGTTCGCTAGCTCCGACTCGGGCAACGACGCGTCGAGGTAGCAGGGGTTCGTCCCGAGCGAGACCTTGCATATGGTGTCGAAGGCGAACCTGCGGAGCAAGTCTTGGACGTCCACGGCTCGGCGGTCGGCGCACGCCGACGCTAGGATCGGAAGCAGCCTTTCCTCAGCCTCCGACTCAAGAGTCTCGACCACAAATTCCCGGAGCGACTTGGTGGTGAACTCGTGGCTGGCCAGCTTGCGCTGGGTGTGCCAGAGCTGGCCGTCGGCGTTGAAGATGCCGCAGCCCAGCAAGTCTCCGAGGATGTCGGTGAAGGCCTCCCCCTTGGGGTAGTTGGGGAAGTTGGTCCTGAGCACGTGCTCCACGTTGTTGGGGTTGGCGGTGACCACTGTGCGGCGAGCCCCGAAGCGCCCGATCACGATGGTCTGCGTCGGGGAGGACGCGAGCAGCTCGGTGTACCAATCCAGGAGCCGGTGCCTGTTCCTGTAGAACGGGACCAAGCATCCGATGACAGGGTGCATCTTGGGGCCATAGGAGGAAGAAGAACCAGCGAAAGACCGCAGCCAAAGTACAACACAGAACAACAGCAGCAGAAGAAGAGATGACAGAGGAAGAGAGTCGAGGAAGGAGACGGAGATCACGGCCATCGGGATGCACGTCGACACGATCGAACACGCGGTTTATATAGGCGAGTAACAATCGAACACGCGGCACGTGGAAACGAGTTGTTATCGCACGCGGGCTGATATGGCTCGGTTTGTGTCGGCGGCGTAAAGACTTTTTTGCCATATATGACATGGGGGGATTTCCAAGTGGCACTCTTTCTGCACGTGGGAGTAGGGCGCAAGAGTTGCGGCGCCCACACGTGTGGGAAAAGTTCGACGCTTCACTGTTGCTTAGGGACGAAGGCAGCCGACGTGTGAGATCGAAATTAAGGTGAGACTAAGACAAGTCTCACCGTATGAGACTTACGATTTCTACTTGATTAAGACACCCAAATCCAACCACAGTCAAAGGTCGGCTACTTGGTACCCCGACTCCAGACACGACTTAGGCAACGGGCATTGGATAATGACAGTGGGGGAGACGCATGCCTTTCGATATGTTTTTGTTTCTTCAGGGTCATAAATCAAGGAAACAAAAAATCAACAAACAAATGATAGAAAGAGAAAGATGGAACCCTTGAAATTTTACATGATTAATCCTAAATCAACTAAAACAATGTTTGTAATCTATGATTGGAATGGCCAATTCAATTCAATGAGAAGGATACATACCTCTATCTAATCCTAAAAAATAAAATCAAAAACAATTTCTTTTACCTTTTAATATTTTTGAAAACCATGATTCCTTTTGGTGATAAAATACACAATTTTTTGGTTTGCTAATTAAGTCACCTTCACAATAATTAGTGGCAAAGATTGCATCCTCTCTTCCTTTTTTTAATGTTTTCTTGCCACGAACATATGATGTATATAAACTGGCAAGCAGCTTAAAGATCACTTCAATCACTGTCTAAAGTGACTCGATAGTCTGAACTGAGGAGGGTTTGGATGCTTGCCTTCCTCTTAGACTTCAATGTGTGGAAGGGAAGAAAAAGAAGAAATTTGTCTCATCTAAAAAATATATATATATATACATATGCACATAAGAAAAGTGTGATCAATGAATGTGATGAGACAATCCACCAATCTTGTTAGATTTGGGCAACCAAGGAGAACTTGGACTAAAACATGTAATGTTCTTTCTTGTTTTGGCTCAATGATTGATTCGGATCAGTGACTTGATTGAGAAAGGGATGGGAGAGTGCAAACGCAGAAACACCTTTCATGAATAGTAGGGAACAGGAAGTGCAAATAATGCAGTCATGGAAGGCATTTGAAGGACTTTGCTTTCAGAAGAGGAATCAAATGTTTGGGAGAACTTATTTTGGCTACAATATATGCATTCATAGCACACTCTCTTTGTTTGCTGAAAGATCACCAGCATCTCTGGCAGAAACTAAAGCCACAAAATATGGGTTCCAATTCTGTGGTACTCAATACTTACTATTAGCAAATTTCACCCAGGAGAGAGAGAGTAGATGATGTAGAAAGATAAGCTTAAGTACATGAAGGGTGGATGTACACAATGTCATAAAAAGTTTGCTTTGGATATTTTATTTAATTTCACTTTATAATTAGGTTTTGTAATTGTTGGTGTAAACAACTTTTTAGCCGTGGCATCGGGACCGACGTGGCTTGGTTCGGGTTCGGATGACGGGTCGTCGTTTCCTTCAGAAAGGGGCTCCTTGCCAACGCGCCCGAAGAGAGGTGTCTCGCCTTCGTCCCTGCACGCAAGTCGGGTCGGGATGCTCGACTCGACCCCTCTGATGATTAAGTTAGTCGATGATCGTGTAAGTATTTTATTTTTCTTCTCTCCCCCCTTTTCCGTTTAGAATGCCAGGGTATTTATAGGGGAGTTCGGTGTTACCTGATGTGCTTGCTCGCAAGGGATATGATCGTACCTTCTGATGACGTCCGACATCGCTGTTGGCGTGGCATGCGGAATCGAGCCTAAGCGATCGTTAATGGGCCTCGGTTGGCATTACGACCCGTGTCAGCCATGCGCTGTCAGCCCGACAGGGACGCGGGGCGTCAGCGGGTGTCACACAAGTCTTATCGTAATTGTTACCCTCATCATACTCCCCCCCCAAAGGAAGTTATGCGTCAGTTGCCGAATGGGAGGGGTCTGAGGCATGGCTTCAGTTTTAAAGAACTTTCTCCGTCGGTCGAAGGCTGGTTCGTCGCTCTGGGCGTAGAGATTATGGCGCTTGGCGATCGAGGTAGGTCGGGTGTGCTGTTACGGTGCTGGGTAGTGAGTGGCCGAGGAACCTCGAAGAGTGACTCGTAGGTCAGATCGGGCTCGGCCGTAGGGGTGGTGGCCCTCTCGGGCGAGTAGGCCGCGTAGGCCTAGTCTCGGATAACGTGCAGCCGAGGAGCTGAACTCGGGTGAGCGAACCGCGCAGGCGTGGTTTCGGGCGATACGAGGCCGAAGAGCACGACACAGGCGG